GTAGCAGTAGCGGTAGTAGTAGTAGTAGTAGTAGTAGTAGTAGTAGTAGTAGCAGTAGCAGTAGTAGTAGTAGTAGTAGTAGTAGTAGTAGTAGTAGTAAGAATAGAACAGCTTAATATCTACAACTACATATAGACCGACATCCACATCTACACCTACAGCTACATCTACATCTACACCTACATCTACACCTACATGTATGCGCTGTGCTATGCTGCGCTGTGCTATGCTAAGCAATGCTATGTTATGTTATGCTGCGCTATGCTATGCTACGCTATGCTATGATATGCTGTGCTAATGCTGCGCTAAGCTAAGGTAAGGTCAGCTAAGATATGTTAAGCTAAGCTAGGTTAAGCTAAGCCAAGCTAAGCTAAGCTAAGCTAAGATGAAACTATGCTATGCTGTGCTCGGCTATGCTAAAGCTCAGCGAAGCTAAGATGAAGGTAAGCTAGGCTAAGATAAACCTGAGCTAAGATGAAGCTAAGCTCAGCTAAGATGAAATAAGCTAAGCTAAGATGAGATAAGCAACGCTAATAAGCTAAGGAGACGTAACTGGGGGAACCGCGGGGCGGATACTGGGGGAACCGCCCGGGGCGCTTTCCACTGCCCGGCCCCTTGTAAGCCCAGAGAGTAAGAACCCTTCTAGGCTGAGCCTAGGTAGGGAACAAGAACGAACACAAACGAACACATGAAATACAAAGCGAACAAACGAACACATGAAATACAAAGCGAACAAAAGGTGAACGCTATTCCCTGTTATACGAGAACCATCGGGAGCTGGACTCCGGGTCACTTACACAATTATCGAAGACGCCTACGGCGAATCACCGCCGCCCCCTGCCTTTGTGGAAGCGCCTATGTGGCCGAACGTTGAGGCCAGACCTGCCAAGCCATCGGACCATGTGTTCCCCGAATCGGTTTGGAAAGCCTTCGGGGAACACGTGGGCGTCTTGATGGTCATCGTCGCCGTCTTGGAGGCCTCTTGGGCGATCTTTCGGCGATCTTTGGGGGCTCTTGGGCCGTCTCGGGCCGTCGGAAGGCCGAAAAAAGGGAAATGCCCAAATCCATCAAAAACCTTTGAAAAATCAGTGATTTTGGCATCTTTTGGCCTTCCTGGAGGCCCTCTTGGGGGCCTCTTGGGCCCTTTTGGGCCAGCTTCGAGCCAACTTCGGCCATCTTGGTGGGTTCCTGGCACGTCTGACGCCGTCGGGAGCCGTTTTGGGGGCCTTTCTGGGCCAACGGGGGACCCTCTTGGGGCGCTCCAGGGCCGTCTTGGAGGCCATCTTGGGCGTCTTGGAGGCCATCTTGGGCGTGTTGGAGGCCTCTTGGGCCCTCTTGGGGCCCTCTAGGGGCCATCTTGGAGGCCACTTGGGCCATCATGGGGCTCTCTTGGGGGCCTCTTGGGCGATCTTGGGGGCTTCTTGGGCCGTCTCGAGCCGTCGGAGAGCCGAAAAGGCGCAAATGCCAGAATCCTTCAAAAACCAAGGAAAAATCAATGATTTTGGCCTCTTCGGACTCTCCTGGAGGACCTCTTGGAGGCCTCTTGGGCCGTCTGGGAGGCCTCTGGGGGGCCTCTTGGGCCGTCTTGGGCCGTCTTGGACTCTCTTGGGCCGTTTTGGAGGCCGTCTTGGACCATCTCGGGCGGACTTGGAGGCCATCTTGGGCCATCTTCGCGATTTTTTGAGGATGTCCCGAGCGAAACGGCCGTTTTTTGGAGGATTTTTTGCGGTCGTTGAGCACGTTTGGGGATTTTCCGGGTGGCCGGCGGGTTCTGCCGGAGCCCACTGGGGATTTTTTTTTTGGAAAAAGAACCAAAACCAAAACCTAACAGCTCATCCAGCACGCCGTGCACCCCTGCAAGCAGGGGGCGGCGGATTTCTGGCGGACGTCGGCCCATCGCGCCACCGCGCCTGGGTTGTGGACAAGATGCCTCTTGGAGACCTTCTGGTGTTCCCTGGAAGGCCTCTCTCAGGCATCTCGGAAGCCTCCTGGGAACCTCTTGGGAGCATCTGGGGGCCTCTGGAGCGCTTCCTGGGAGCCTGGAGGCGGCCTCGGGGGCCATCTCGAGAGGAGAGCACCAAAGGTCCCCTCGAGTTCTCCCTCTTGGTGGCCTCATGGGCCCCTGCTGGGGGCTTGGGGGCGGTCTTAGGGTGATCCTGGGGCCTCTTGTGCCGTCGTGGACGCCCTTTGGACCGAAAAGGCGAGCACGCAAAAGATTTGCCAACAATTTGTTGTTCTTAAACGCTTCTGCCTTATCGGGCCGATCCCACAGGGTTGCCAAGACGACCCGAGAGGTCCCCAGGTGGCCTCCAGGACGGCCCTCTGGGACCATGCTGGGGCACGTTGCAAAGGACTCCGAACACGCGCTCACGAGGCCTCGGAAACGTCCAGCGCGAGCCCCAAGAGCGCCCAGTAGCGCCAGGAACTGGGGGGCCTGGGCCCTTGAGAGCGGGCCTGCAGTCTTCAAAGCAGAGAACTTGAAGGGACCTAAGGATACTTCTTGCCTCGCGGCACAGCTGCGGATATGGTCAGTGATATCGTTGTGAATCGTTGCCGCTATGGAAAGCGTGGGTCCAAGCTGGTTGTGCAGAAAGACAATGTCCATTGATTGTCTTCCCAAAGGCAGGGTTCATTCACTCGCCGATGAATGTCCTGGTATCCGCTTTCTTGCCACTCATCCACAGGCGGCCAACTGCCTTCAAGCTAAGCTTACGAGCGCACCTTATCTTAGCAGTTTGGTGGCGCACTTGAGTTTCAATTGTACAAGTCAGCACGGCACGCCGCGCATTCTGCGGGGGGGGGTCAGGTATTGGAACCCGCCTTGCACACGCTCCGCTGAGAAGCATGTGTTTCCAGAGACGCGTGCAGGATGGATGTGCGCTGATTTTCTTCCGACGTAATATGCAGCCGTGTTCATCCAAGAATCAAGGCAACGCTTCAGCGTTTGCTCGGATACCATGTGGAAATCCGACACGGCCGGTGCTATGGCCGCTCCGCGATTGACGGCGGAGCAGGCAGGCCCGTGGCGCAAGCTGGCGCGGCGGCACCGTGCGGCCGCATCCCCTGCAGCTGCTGCAGCGGCCGCGGCGACTGCGCTGGCAGCCTCGCAGCTGCGAGGGTGCATAACCAGCTTTGCAGCGCCTGGAGCTGCTGCGCGCCCGGCACACACGGCGCGGCGGGCGCAGCCGCGCGGCACCCTGCGCACGAGGGCCAGGCGCGCCACGACTGCAGCGGCGACTGGGGCGGTGGCTGGCAGAGCACTGCTGCTGGCAGGCGGTCGCGCGCTGGCGCCGCAGGGCAAGCGCCGCCGCGCAGGCGTTGCTTCGGCGCGTGCAGCAAGCGAGCCCCGCCTGGAGGATTGAGGGGAGGAAAAATGATATAGACATAAACTTGCGAGGGTCCGCGCGGATTCCTTGGATCTGCGCTGGGCCTCCGTGGCGGCGCCTCCAGCGCAGCCCCTGGCGCGCTCCGCGCGCCAGGGGCGGGGGGCTCCGATCCAAGGAGATGTTCGCGCAGCTTAGACAGTGGTTGCACTTACGGGCTCTGGTTTGTTTTACCAGTGGGTAACCCGAGGATTTGGTGTTGGTGGCCGCCCAGTGGCCGCCCGTGGCCCCCTAACGCAGCTTGCATCACACATATTGCACTACATAGCTTGCACAGCATGGCGTGCACGACGTAGATTGCATCATGGAGCGTACACCAAGCACCTTGCACCACACAATTTGCACCTCTCAGCTTGCACCACATCCATCACACCACGAAGCTTGCACCACGTAGATTGCACAACGTATCTTAGACCGCGTAGCTTGCACCACATAGCTTCCAAACCAACACCGCATCAATTTACATTGCCCAAGCAGTGCTTGCATTTAGGGGTTTTCCTTGTGTTACTAAGGAATTGGTCGAATCTGGCGAGGCCTTTTCCACGTTGCCGCCCGTGGCCGCCTCGTCGCCGCCTCGTGCGCTAGGTGGGCCTCGCAACGTTTCGCCACGTGGCCTCCCGTGGCCGCCTCGTGGCCGCCTCGTGCGCTGGGTAGGTCTGGTCAGGTTTCGCCCCGCTGCCGCCCGTGGCCGCATCGTGCGCTGGGTGGGTCCCGCGAGGGTATGCCACGTTGCCGCCCGTGGCCGCTTCGTGGCCGCCTCGTGCGCTGGGATGGTCCCGCGAGGTTTCGCCACGCTGCCGCCCGTGGCCGCCTCGTGCGCGAGGTGGGTCTGGCGAGGTTTCGCCATGTTGCCGCCCATTGCCGCTTCGCCGCCGCCTCGTGCGCTGGGTGGATCCCGCGAGGGTTCGGCACGTTGCCGCCCGTGGCCGCCTCGTGCGCTGGTTGGGTCCCGCGAGGTCTCGCCACGTTGCCGCCCGTGGCCGCCTCGTGGCCGCCTCGTGCGATGGGTTGGGCTGGCTAAGTTTCGCCACGTTGCCGATCGTGGCCGCCTCGTGGGCGTCCCTTGCGTATTTCACACAACTCACATCACATAGGTTGCACCACATAGCTTACATCCCGTGGCTCATATCAAATAGAGGGCACCACATAGCTTTCACCGCATAGCTCGCATATCATGACGCACACCACATAAATTGAATCACCTAGCTTACACCACATAGCTCACACTACGTCCATTGCATTGTATATACTGCACCTCCTTGATAACACCATGTAGTTTACGCCACATGGCTCACACCACAGAGCTAGCACCAGATTGTTTGCACCACATCGCTGACAACACAGAGCTCATACCACTTTGATTGCACCACATAGCTTGCACCGCATGGCTCACACCGCATAGATATACACCACACACGCACACTGCGCCACATAGCTTACACCTCACAGCTTGCACCACACAGATTAAGCTGCATAGCTTGCACATCCACAGGTGCCGCATCTCACTGCTTGGGGCCCACGATGGCAAGCATCCCTCCCCTTCAGGATGCTAGAGCGGCGGCGGAGTCCGAGAGGCTCGAGCTCGAGGCGGCGAGGCTGCGCGCAGAGGCCCGGCAA